GTTTTCATTGTTTCTCAATTTGGTTTTCACACTCACAGTCTATTTAAATCTCTCTCTCTTAAATGTGACCTATGATGGTCTTCTGTTAGCTGTTATTTTCTTTGAAATTTGAAGTCCTAAGTCATAAAACATGTCTCTTATGACATTACTTATACCCAGTTTGCCATCTGTTTTTATCACAATATGTCATGTTTTGATTTAATTTCATTTCTTCACCAATTTCTTTAGCAGATATTATTGAGTCCCTGTTATAGGCTTTTAAGAGCAGGTCATGTAGAATCTGTAGAGAGATTCTACGATTCTGTTTTCTATTTTCTTAACTGAAACGTCTCTTTGCATTTTTCTTTTGGTATCTTACCCAGTCCAGATCCCATTTATGTCTTCAATCACAATACTCCACTAAAAATTACTCCATTTGTTGCATTTGTGCCCATTCTTCATGTTTCTACCTATTATTCAAACTTCACTATTTTAAAAATGGTTTTTATTATATTCCTCTAGCCAGCACTTTCTTCTAAGTTCTACATATCTGCTCATGTCGTCTTTCATTCACTTATGCTTTCTTTAACTCATCTCTGGTTTTTAGTCTTTATCGCTATCATCAAGTTCTGGTCATTTCACTTCTTCCCTATAGTATCATATTAAGACTTTATTTTTTCTAACCACTTTTCTAAGTTGCTTAGCCCACAAATTCAAGCTTTTCTAAAAACTGCCTTAATTTTTTCCATCTAAAATTCTGTTTGGTTTTAGGTCCTGTGTCCTTCCATATTATCTTCTCTACTTGTGTTTTTCACTTTCATACCTGCCAGGTCATTCAAAGACCCTTCCAGCTGTACCATGCAAATGCTATCTGTTTCTCTTTGCTCATGGAACCCCATCCATCTGGGAGTCCAGAAAAATACCACTTCTTAGGATCCACTTTATCTTTTAGGTCATCAGATATAACCTCTTCCTCTTCTGCACCATAGTGAAATGTTTTGTTTTATCACTCATCTTGTATTGCTATGTATCTCATCTCACTTATGAGGTTTTGAGGTTCTTGAGGATAGAGACTTGTGACAATCTTACTTATATTATACAAGCTACTCAACATACCCTCTTACTCAATAAACATATGCTATAGTAGTCAATTACTTGAGAAGATCTCCCTCTCTTCAGTGATTACTTTTCAGTAAAGTACATCAATGAAGTAGTAAACTGTATATCCTGGCTGATGTTTGTAAATAATTTCTATGAGCCAGGCACAGGGAAATGATGGTACCCATTCATGAATACATTTTTTTATTTGAAAATAATACTATTTATCCTTTATTGCACTTAATCTAATGTAGTTTTTTTTACATTTAATCATTATACATATTTACAGCATAAAAATATATTTTCCCAGCATGAGTACACTATACACTGCATATCAGTGTAGTCTAACATATTACCATTCATGTTTCCTGTCTCTGACACTCATGTTCATGCAAATGGTTACCATATAAAACAAAAGAAACTTTAGGTAGGAACTTATATGAAAAAGATATTCTAAATATAAAAGTACTAAATGATGAATGGTTTTACAGGCATACTTTCATGGAATATTCTGCATGAAATCTTTAAAAAGTCGATTAGATATCTTAGTATGTACCTGAACTTAGTTTAACCAGTGGCGATGATTTTTCTTGAGCAATTCTTAAAATTTTTAAAAAACTTATAAAAGAGTATATTTACTTACCGTAAAGGTACTCAGCTTGTTTGAGCCCTCTCTTCAGTGATTACTTTTCAGTAAAGTACATCAATGAAGTAGTAAACTGTATATCCTGGCTGATGTTTGTAAATAATTTCTATGAGCCAGGCACAGGGAAATGATGGTACCCATTCATGAATACATTTTTTTATTTGAAAATAATACTATTTATCCTTTATTGCACTTAATCTAATGTAGTTTTTTTTACATTTAATCATTATACATATTTACAGCATAAAAATATATTTTCCCAGCATGAGTACACTATACACTGCATATCAGTGTAGTCTAACATATTACCATTCATGTTTCCTGTCTCTGACACTCATGTTCATGCAAATGGTTACCATATAAAACAAAAGAAACTTTAGGTAGGAACTTATATGAAAAAGATATTCTAAATATAAAAGTACTAAATGATGAATGGTTTTACAGGCATACTTTCATGGAATATTCTGCATGAAATCTTTAAAAAGTCGATTAGATATCTTAGTATGTACCTGAACTTAGTTTAACCAGTGGCGATGATTTTTCTTGAGCAATTCTTAAAATTTTTAAAAAACTTATAAAAGAGTATATTTACTTACCGTAAAGGTACTCAGCTTGTTTGAGCATAGTGGAATTTTGAATCACAAATGAGTATGTTACAATATTATAAATCAAGTTTCCTTGATGAACAAATGTTTTAAAGACTTGATGGAAGGAGATTTAGTGTTGTTTTTGTTCAGGTTTATGATCAACTATGCCTATATTTGGAGGTATGTGATCTTTGACATAAACCATTTATAACAGGTGCTTAGTATATGTTTGGCTAACTGCTGACAGTTTGAAGGCTCATCTACAAAGTTTTATAAAGTAGGTTTTTTTTTTTTTTTAATTTAACATTGAAATGAAAAGCTAGATAAATATAGAAGGATGCTACTCCAGATAACACTGAAATGTTCAGATGAACAGCACAGAAATTGTTATACAATACAAATATTTAATAATTGGAGTTAAATGATCTTCTATAATTGTTGAATATTGATTGTATTTCTGGGCTTTCTTAGTCTGTTCCATTTTAACCCGGGAACATTCTTTATATTAGGAAGAATTCTTTTGTCATTAGGCTGTGCTAAATTGATAGATTTTATAGTCACGACAAGAGACCAAGTCATCATTACCT